AAACACCAGTTCTGAGCCAGGGTGGGCTGCAGGCACATGTGGTCAGGGCTCTAGGTCTTAGCTTTGACTTGGCCACCTCCTACCCTCTGTCTCCCTCCTGAGCTAAGCTCACTCGTCCACCCACAATGGGAGATAAATGGACAGTCCTTACCCTGTTTCTGATTGACTAATGCAGGTTATATGCCTGCTCCTGGACCGATAATAGGCAACGAGAGAATTTACATGCTGACTGACTAATATATCATTGGCAAGGAAGATGGTAGACTGTGATTGGCTAATTAAGATCCTTCTAGAATAAGATAACAATGGGCAAAGAACAGGGAAGTGAGAGATGCATGCTGGGTACTGGTGAGCTGAACAGAGCAGTGAGTGGGCAGAGGCATGGTAGAACATGCTGGCTTCCGCAAGGGCCCAGGGGACCTCTATATCCTGGGTCACCTTTCTTCCCCTCAAGAAAGACTTATATGGGGTCCAACAATAAACCTTTCTAAGTGCCCCATGGAGCTACCTCAGCTCTGTGTCCAGACTGTGGATCATGTCCACCTGGCGGCCTCCCAGGTTCCCCTTAGGAAAGGACTGTGGTCACCCACTGAGAGACAAGGAAACAGAGAAGCTAGGAAACTTGTCCAAGTCAAACAGCCAGCCAGCGGTAGAGCCGTGGGCCAATGTCCACCTCCTTCTCTTTCTGATCCAGACACAGGCCCTCCTTCCTCCCTTGGCCTCTGTTTCCCCACTTCCTTCCCCCATTCCCCCTTTCCTCTTCCTATTCTCTCCCATTCCCCACTCCCTCCTTCCTGTCTTCCCTTTCTCCCCTCCGTACACACCCCTTCCTGCTCTCCATCCCCACCCTCTTTCCCGTCTCTCTTCCAGTTCCCTTCTCTCTCTTCCATCCATCTCTCCCCTGCCCTTCCTCTCCCCTTTACCCCCTTTCTCCTCTACCATCCCCTCTCCATCCCCCTCCACCCTGCCTTCTCCCTCTTTCTAACTCCTCCATGGTTTCCATCCTCTCTGCCCCCTTTCCTCTCCCTCCCCTTCTCCTCCATCTTTCCCCTCCATCCTGTTCCTTCCTCCCCTCGCCCTCCTTCTCTTTCTGTCCCTCCCTCCGTCCCTCCTCCTCTTTCTGCCCCTCCCTCCATCCCTCCTCGCCCCTGGAGCCAGCTGCAGCTGCTGTGCTTGCAGCCATGCCTCTCCAACCACCCGCCAATGCTTGGAAAAATGCAAATAAAAGCAAGATTATGATATTTTTCGTAAATAAGCAATGTAGCAACTCAAATCTGGTTTGGGCCGTCAGCCGAATCCACCAGAGAGATATCGGTGTTGAAATATTTGCGTACATTCTCGTGGAACATTTATTGTGGAACACTGGGCTCTAGGAAAGCTTTCCTATAAATTATTCATTATGGAATCCAAATGAACCGCCAAAGCCCTCCCACCCAGGGGCTGCCATTTTTGCCTTTCTTTCTTTTTTTTTAATTACCTCTGAAGTGCTGGTCTTAGTGAGCATGTAAAGCTGACCACCAGTGGTGGTGTAATTAGTTGGAGAGGTGGATTGTCCGGCTCAGTGGTGCTGACCCCATGCTGACCCCTTCGAGGAACTTTGGTTTCTCTATAAGGATTTTCTCTGCTGGTGGATGTGCTAATGTCCTTTCTTGCCCAGGAGCCTGGTGGTCACAGGGTAGCTGGGTGATGCAAGACCCTTCACAAACTGGCAGCCCCCCAGATGCTGCCCACAGAGACCCAGAGACTGTTAGGGTTGAATTGTATCCCCACCCTACTGTAGGTGTGGACTGGGGTCCAGAGGGCACCCAGTGATTTCCAGATTCTTGTGTCTGAGAGCCTTGGTTTGTATATTATGTCTGAGCATGGATACTGATGGAAACAGAGCTTGGTATGGGAAGTGAGCTGCAGAGACAGCTCAGTTGGTCAGTTAGTGCTTGCTCTTGAGCACAAGGACCCGAACTGAGATCTCCAGGGCCAGTGTAGCCATGCACCTCTGAACTGAGATTTCCAGGGCCAGTGTAGCCATGCACCTCTGAACTGAGATCTCCAGCTCCAGTGTAAGCCATGCACCTCTGTAGCTTTAATGCAATGGGTATCAGAGACAGGCAGAGTCCTCAGAGCTCACCAGCCAGCCGATGTAACCAGTTAGTGAGTACCAGGTTCAGTGAGAGAGCTTGTCTCAAAAGACAAGGTGGAAAACCGTAGAGGAAGACACTGATGTCACCTCTGGCTTTCACACTCTGGTAGGAGGGTATTGGAGACCAGCCTAGGATATACAATGAAATTCTATTACAAACACTGAACGGGCTAGAGAGATGGCTCTGTGGTTAAGAGTTTTTGCTACTCTTGCAGAGGACTGGAGTTCAGTTCCTAGCACCCTAGCATCAGGTAGCTCACAATCACCTGTAACTCCAGATCCAGGGGGTTCTGATAGCTTTTTCTGGCCTCTGTGGACTCAAGAACACACATGCACATGGTTGCACACACATGAATAAATAATAAAAATAAATGTTAAACAAAAATTAAAAAAAACAAATAAATATGTCAGGTGAAAAAAAGGCTAGGGGATTAAAACACAAACACACAGAGGAAAGGCTGTGTGAGGACATGGGAAGAATATGCTGCCTACGAGTCCAGGAGTGTTTCAGGAGGATCTGGCCCTGCTGCCCCTGCTCTGGGTCCTTCAGTCTCCAGTGCCATGGGGCAGTGTGTCTGTGTGATTTAAATCACCCAGTCACTGGCCCTGCTATATCCAGGAAGGTAACTCAGAGGTGGGATGGGCACTGACTCTGTCTGGGGCCTGGTGTCTGGCTGAAGGAATAAGGAACTTGGCTTCCTAAACAGCCCCGGGATCTTTCTAGAGCCCAGAGCTCAGGGAGAGGGAGGCTTAGGCGGGAACTCTGCCAGCATCCTCATCCTTCCCCGTGGAAGAGTAAAGCTGCGTGTAAATATTTGCAGGATTAATTTCACAACTCACAAACGAATCGCGGGAGCAAGAAGCGGGTCCCACTTGCTCAAGACAACACCTCAGACAATGCTGTTCTCAGCGCTGGTCTTTCGTGCTCCGTGTTCATGATGGGCCACGCTCATCTTACCTTGTAACCTCTCAAGGACCCCGAGGCAGAGGACTGGCTCTGAGGAGCAAGGTGGCATAGACCGCTTTGCCTGTGGACCCAGAACCTCCCATGCTCCAGCCTTTGGGAACAGATGGGGCTTTGTCCATCTGGATAGCTCAGGGTCAGCAGTTACAGCTGGGGGTAGAGGGTCAGGGTACACATTGCCTAGAACTACAGCTGGCTTGGCAGCCTGGGGCTTCCTTTCTCTTTCCCTGGTCACTTCCGTGGAGACCAGCTCTGGCCTCAGTCCTGATCAAGTGTGGCCACAGTCTTCCACAGTTCCTTAGCCTGGTGGAACGGGAATCCACTTTTGGGCTTCTGCCTCAACTGTTCCTTCTTTCTGCTCCCAGAGTCCAGTCTGACCAAGATTTTGGGGCTCTGTCCAGCTCAGTATAGCTGAGGCTTTGGGGCCTATCCATAACTTTGAGGTCCAACCTGGCTGGGCTCTGGGGTCTGTCCAGCAGTGTGGGGCTGTTTAGACTCTAGCCTGGACCCCGAGTGCTGTGTGGCAGTGGTGTTTGGCCTGGTCTCTGGCACAGATCTCTCCCATTTCTTGTGGCCAGGGCTCCGGCCTGTGGCCACCCTTCACAGGTCTGTCTTTGACTTCACAGTGCTCTCTGTGGCAGTCATTTAAATAGCCACAGAGGTCACGGACTGAGCACACTTTGGGACTCGCAGCGCGTTGTGTAAAGTGACCGACCCTTCATTCTGTGCTCACATCTGCAGAGTGGAGTTTTTTCTCTCCTGGAAAGAGCAGCCTGTGGGCATTCTAGAGGCCTCACCCATGGCCTTGGTAGAGGCAGGGTTGTGTAGTGCCACTGTGACAGACACACCAAGCTTCCTGGACACCTGCTGTTTGCCTGTGTTGACCCCGGCTCCTCCTCCCCGTGACCCAGCCTGCTCCTGCACTCCCACATTGGAGCATCCTTTGCTGCAATTTAGGGCAGAGTGAGTCCTGGCAGCTGCAGGGACTCACTGGCCGCTTGTCTTTCATTTGAAAATCAATGGAAAGGGGAGTCTTGTCTGTCCCCAACCCTGCCTACCACTGCCTCCTGGCTGTGATAGATACCTGTGATTCTGGGCTTTGGCACTTGGGTAGTGTCTGCAGTCCTGACCCCTGCATGAGTGTGTGTGCAGGGTAGGAGATGGTGAGGAAACAGCAGAGGGTGTGGACAGGTGCATCCTGAGAGCCGATCAAGGTTGGAAGGACGGCGGCAGTGGCCTTGTGGGGAGGCACGCCTCTGCCACTCAGTGGAGTGTTCCAACACGTTCATTCCTGGAATGCATCCTCACCATCTGTCTCCTGAGCTGGCAGAGAGGAGTCACAATTGTAAATTGTCTGTTTCCCCCCCTTTCACTCCACGTGAAGCAGCTCTGGTGGCTTGAAGGGGCTGTCAAGGTTTGCAGTGTGCCTGGCTTGTTTTCCCCATGACAGGAAACACAACCTTCTTTAGAGTCCTGGGGTGTGTGTGTGTGTGTGGGAGGTGGTAGGGTGATGCCAAGCACAGGCAGTACTCTGGGGGAATGATGGCAATGATCTGCAGGGCAGGCTCACTGAGGCATCAGTTGTCCTGTCTGATGGGACATTGAGAGTGGGGGCTGTGGATGGGGGAGGGCACAGTGGAAAATACCTTCTGGTCAATTTTTCTGTGAACCCAAACTGTGCTAAATAATAATGCAAATTAAGAAAAGAACCAAAGGAAGAACATGATCAAAACATATTTTATGAAAAAGGAAACAAATTAAATAAAATTTAAAGAAGATAGCTCTGTGGGTGGAGCACCTGCTCTACAAGATGACCTGAGTTGGATCCCCAGAACTTACACTGTACAAAGCTGGGCATTATGACATGCTCGTCATCTCAGTGCTGGGGAGGTGGAGAAGGAGGCCCCCAGGGCTGGCTGCCATCACAAGGCCTAGTTGGTGAGCTCCAGGACAACGAAGAGATCCTGTCTCAGAAGAGCAACCAAGGAAGACACCTGAGGTTAACCTTTGGGTTCCACATACATAAAAAGCAGGTGTCAAAAGAGGAGGGGGGATTTCTGTGGGTGGGCGGGGTCAGGGACAACCCCAGCATGCCCATGGGAGAGGCTTGGGTCAGGAGGGAGGTGAGTGTAGGCCAGGAAGCACCAAGGCATGAACTGAATTCGTTCAGGGTGGCTGAACAACCCATGATGCTGTAGCTTAAGTTGCCTAATGAGTTTTCCCAGCTGCAATGTTTTCAGACTACAATTGGCTTATCAGCCATTCCCCAGTGTAGGTGGAGGCACATCAGTGCCCTGTTCTCTCCGAGAGGGGATCTAGGAAGGACATCAGGAACTGCCCTGAATCACAGCTGGGAGAGGAGCCATCCGCTCACTGCTCATGAACACCTATTTGGGTTCTGAAGTACTGTTGTGTGGTGGTGTTGGGCTGCCATATGCTCTGGGCTTTACTGGAACAGTTGGCATCATCTTCATCAGCACAATAGTAGGTTCTTTTATTTGAGTAGATGATGTGAGATGTTTTTCCTCTCAAAACAGAGAATTGCCGCAGTACTGATAAAAACAAAAAACCAAACAAAAACAAAACCAGGAGCAGAAGGGTCGGTGTCCATCTCTGCAAAGAGCTTCTCAGTGCTGGGCCCTCACGAAGATGGAGCTTCTCTGCTAGGTCACAATGCAGCCCTGTCCTCTGTGTGGATACACTGTGTGGTGAGGCCTCTCCTCGTGTCTTGCCAAAGCTATCTGATTGCAGCCTCCTGTGGGAGGAACAAGCTCTCTTGTATCACTCTTTGTGATGGAGACAGTCTCACAATGAGATCTCTGCCTCTCTCCATTTCTATCTTTACCTTGGGTGAGTAGAGGGAACAGGCTAGGAAGGAGCACCAGAGAGGAGGAAGACAGGAGTCCTGGACAGTCAAGAGGGGAAGGCATGTAAGGAAATCTGCCTGGGCGTCAAGTGCGAAGCCTGGTGGCTCACCACCTCATGTGGGGATATGAGTGGACTTTAGAGAAGCAGCCACAGTTGATACCGAGAAAGAAACCCAAGATGCCTGTCGTGGAAGGAGGGGTGGGTGGTGGGCTCATCTAGGCACACAGATAGGGCAGTAGGGTAGAGAAGCAGATCGAGAAGAATATACTGTGTCAACAAATAAACGCTGCCGCCAGTGGCCAAAGAACCCATACAGAGGAACCAGGAAAGGTGAGCCAAAGTCAAACCTGGGTACGACCCAACAGCACACTCTATACTCCCATCCCTTCCTCATACCCCATCAGTTCTGTGGGAAATCCTTCCTGGACCAAGGCCTAGAACACACCCTACAAGGCAGTGTCATCCAGGAGGAAACACAAGGTGCTTCCACCTGATTTAAAACATTCTGGGTCATCCACATCCACAATCCCATGATTCTGAAGGCTGAGCTCAGCGACCTTTGCCCTGCATGGTCTCTGGTGCCTCCCCGGAGGATCTGGTGGAGACACTCAGGGAGGATGGTCTAGGAAATGGGATAAAGCAGGTGATATGGGGGACAGGCAAGAGCTTCCAGTGGGTCGCCTCCCTCCCCGGCTGAGGCTGATATGATTCCACACTATTTTATCACCCCAGACCTTCCCCTTCTCTAACTCCAGTGGCAGCAGCTGGGGCGTGGGTGGGCTTCACCCACTGGCTGGGGATGTGTTTTCCCCAAATTTAGGGGAGAAAGCCCACCTTTTCAGAGGCACGGAAATGTCATTTCCCCTTTAAGCTAAACATTTTAGATTATCCTCATTTAATTTGACTAATTTAGGAGGAGAGCAGTGATAATTTGTCAGCATTGCATAGTCTTTTTGAGAGACATTAATATTCTAATTCCAAGAGGGATGTGTGAATTCCTCAGCCACAGATAACACCATTATATTCTAAATTCTTTCCCCGAATTAGTACAGATGGCTAAAAATACTCTCCCTTTAATTAATCTTCCTAACAATAGTTTTGTGAATACAAATAGATCATTAGCCACATCCGAGAAGAGGTGGACGGTGAAGGAGAATCAGGTTGGATCCCATTACAGTCCTGCAGATGGGTCCAGAGGTCTTGGAAGGTGCTGGATCTCAGGGGTGCGTGGGGTCACAGGTCCAGGGGTAGAAATGGGACCTCCTCATTTCATTCCAGTTACCGCTGCCTTAGTCTTGCTGAGGCTTTCAATTTGGCTGTCTTTTCCAGGTAAGGCCAAGAGAGCTGGCTTTTGCCTAAGGAGCACTCTTTTCTACCACGTAGGTCCTAGGGACTGAACTCAGGTCGTCAGGCTACCTTTACTTGTGGAGGCATCTTGCTGACCCTAAATTCCCTGTTTGGCAAGGACTTTTACCTTGTGTGGCTGTCTTTTACCTCAGCTCATTACCCAGTTTGGATGAATTCTGTGTAACAAATCTCACAGAACAGCTGGGCTACATAGACATGCACCACTATGACAACATACTTCAGTGAATCAGCTTTAAAAGAGGAAAGCTTTGTGGTGGCTCACAGTTTCAGAGGTTCAGTTCACGACCCATTGGCCTGTTGCTGTGGGTCTATGGTGAGGTACAGGATGTCGAGGAGTGTATTGGAGTTCCCTTCATAGTGTGTGACTAGTGAAGCGAGAGGAAGAGGAAGGACTCAGGGTCTCAACATCCCCTTCGGGAGCATGACTCCAATTACCTAACTTACTCACATTAGATCTCACCTCCTAAAGGTTTTATTTCATCCCACAAGCATCACAAGTTAACAACCAAGCCTTCAACACGTGCCGTTAAGGG